ATTTATTTGTTTATTTTTATGTGGTGCTGAGGATCAAACCCAGTGCCTCCCTTGTGCTAGGTGAGTGCTCTATCATTGAGCCACAACCTCAGCCCTCATTACATAATTTTTATATATCTAGTTTTTACCATGGATAATATTATGAATTCTGAATACTAGAGCCTTTTCTAAGTATCAGGTTATTTTGAAAAAGATTCATATTATTTTTATCTGCAATAATTAGAAATTTAATGGGTATTTTCTTCAAGGAGTAGTGATGAGAATAGTTTCTGTGTGTTGGTAAAAGCTGCTATTTTAAATCTTTTATCCATCACTGATTTAAAACAGCTATGCTTTATTATTTCCATCTAGTTTGTTTAGGGGTTCAATTTTCACTCCTCAATACTCTGCACTTCTTAAATAATTATGAGTTCATCTAGTTCTGAAGAGTTCTCTGAATTTACTCATGGAGAGCAGAGTGGGTCCCAAGCATAGTGTCTGAATGACTCTCTCCTTCAGCTATCAGGTTCAACTTGCTCACATGTTCATGTCCAACATGTTCACAAAGGTGCTGTGGGTGTGGAACTGTGCTTTGGCCATCTGGCCCAGAACGTCCTTCTTTCCCTTCCTTCTCTCCCTCTCCCCTTCTTTTTTTTTTTTTTTTTTTCTCAGTGCTGGGGATCAAGCACTCTTTCACTGACCTAAAACTCCAGCACTAACTTATTTTAAGCCTAAATAATATTCCATGGTATGTGTCCACCACATTTTATCATTTGACATTTGGATTGTTTTCACCTCTAGAATATTGCAAATAATATTGAAAAGGGTGCATAAATATTTGAGTTTCTAAAGTGGAAGTCCCTAAAGTGCTGGATTGTATGGTAATTTTATTTATTTATTTATTTTTAGGTACTGGGGATTGAGCTCAGGGGTACTCAACTACAGAGCCATATCCCAGACCTATTTTGTATTTTATTTAGAGACAGGGTTTCACTGAGTAGTTTAGCACCTTGCCATTGCTGAGTCTGGCTTTGAACTCCAGACCTCCAGTCTCAGCCTCCTGAGCTGCTGGGATTACAGGCATGTGCCATCATACCCCACTATTTAATTTTTTTTATATCTTTATCTTATTTTTATGTGGTGCTGAGGATCGAACCCAGGGCCTCGCATGTCCTAGGTGAGCACTCTACCGCTGAGCCACAATCCCAGCCCCACTGTTTAATTTTTAAATTATTTTTTATAGTAGTCCACATGGCTTCCCCATTTTGTCTTCCCACCCATAATGCATAAGGGTTCCATTACCACAAATCTTTACTAACACTTGTTTCCCTCCCTCCCTTCTTTCAAATAATAATAACCATCCTAATGGGTGTGAAGTATGATTATGATTTTGATTTGCATTTCCACATAGTGATATTGAACATCTTTTTATGTACTTTTTTTTTTTTTTTTTTTTTTTTGGTATCAGGGATTGAACTCAGGGACACTCAACCACAGAGCCATATCTCCAGCTCTATTTTGTATTTAGAGACAAGATCTCACTGAGTTGCTTAGTGCCTTGCTATTGCTGAGGCTGGCTTTGAACTCTCCATCCTCCTGTCTCAGCCTCCCAAGCCACTGGGATTACAGGCGTCTGCTACCACACCTGGCCCTTTTCATGTACTTATTGCCACCTGTGTATCTTTGGGAAAATGTCTAAGTTCTTTTCCTGTTTTTAAATTGGATTTTTGTTGTTATTATTTACATTCTTTAACACATGTTTTGGTACTAATATTTATAGACTTATCTTGGTATTATACCTTAAAGAGTAATTGGGTATGCATAAGGTGTGCATGTATTCAGCTTTAGTAGATAGTGCTACACATTTTCTAAAGTGGTTTTATCGGTTTACGTGGTCACCAGTTTTGCATGAGATTACTCATTGCTCTGCACATCCTTATTAAAACTTGGTGCCAAAATTCATTTGTTGAAATGCTAACGTACGACATGGATATTAAAAGATGAGGCCTTTGATAAGTGATTCGGTCAAGAGGGTGCAACTGTTAAAAATACCAAGGTGCCTCAGCAAGGCAACATTTACTTCTGCAGAAGGGTGTGCTACTGAACTAAGTCTAGCAAGCAAACACACTTGGGTGGGCAGACTGCCTCTTTTTATCCCGAATGTGAGGCTGCCCTTTGCTCTGATAGGAAGAGCTTGGGGTTGCCATCTACACAATTGGCTAACTCTAAAATTGGGGAGGGTGAAGGCAAGGGCTATAGTTAAAATAGCCACAATCGGATACAGGTTGGGAAGCTCAAATGGCTAGGATTGGATCTTACATTCCAACTAAGGTTAAATACTATGTTCTGAAAATGGACCATCAGGCTTACTATTTCTCACAAAACCATCATGAATGATTAGTGCCCTTATAAAAGACTTCAAAGAGCTCCTTCTTCTTTTCTGCATTTCCATGCCATTTATAAGCCAGGAAGTGGGCCCTTGCCAGACACCAAATTTGGTCTGATCTTGGACTTCCCAGTCTCTAGAGATGAAAGAAATAAATTTTTGTTGTTCATAATCCACCCAGTCTATGGTATCAATACCATAGACTTAGTGACTGAACACACTAAGATAATATTGTTATTGATTTAAATTTAATATATTTTGGGCTAGGGGTGTAGATCAGTGGTGGACCACTTGCCTAGCTAGCATGCCTATCATGCATGAGGTTGTGGAATTGATCCCTATCACTGCGGAATGTATACACACACTTTATGTCTGTTTTTTTTTTCTTTCAGTAGTTTTGTATTTGAGACAGATTCTCACTCTGTTGCCAAAGCTGCCTTTAATTTAATTTACAATCCTGCCTCACTTGTAGCTACGACTACAAGTGCACACCACAAGATCTAGCTTCTATGTGTTTTTTAAATTGTCCATTCTGCTTTTTCAGAAATAACCACTGTTAAGATTTCCCCATAATTATTCCTTCATATCTTCGTGTGTGTGTGTGTGTGTGTGTGTGTGTGTGTTTATATACCCTGGGAATTGAACCCAGGGCCCCCCACATAGTAGGCAAGCACTGTACGCTGAGTTAGGTCCCCAGCCCTGTTATATTTTGTTTTTTTATTTTAAGGAAGTTTCTTCCTAAGTTGTCCAGACTAGCCTTATAACTTAAAGTATATATGATTATAGGCATGGACTACCACACTGGGCTTAATCAAATTTATTTATGTTCTGGTGGCCTGGAGAAAAGACTCTTGTCTCTTTCTCTTATAAGAATACTAACTCTCATGACTTCATTTAAACCTAATTGCCTCTAAAAGACTAAAAGACTCCACCTCTAAATATCAACATATGATATCTGGTGGGAGGCACATTCAGTCCATTGCTGTTTCTTATCATACACAGTTTTCCCTCACATGCTTTCCTTTTCCTTTTTATTTATCTCTTGAAGAACCTGAGCTTTTGACCTGTAGCATTTCCAACAGTCAATTTTTCCGATTACATATTCATGATGCAGTTTAACATATTCTTATGTCCTCTTTATTTTCTGCAAATTGGCAGCTGAATCCAGAGATTTGATCCTTTTGGCTATATCATAGGTTGTATTATGTTCTTCTTGGAGAACCATCTAATTTTGGCTATATCATAGGTTGTATTATGTTCTTGGAGAACCATCTAAACTCTGGGGTTTTGTTCCTTTTGAGCTATTAGCAGCCACTGATACCTATTGCCTGTATCAATTAATTAACTGGTGATGGCAAAAATGATATGCTAATATTATCAATCTTTCTATTTTTAATTTTGGGTATTGGCCGTTTAACCACTGAGCCACACCCCAGCCCTTTTGAGATAGGGATTGGCTAAATTGCTGAGGTTGGCTTTGAACTTGGAATCCTCTTGCCTCAGTGTCCCCAGCTTCTGGAATACAGGCATATGCCACCGCGCACAGCTATTTTTACTTATTTATTTGGGATATGGGAGATTGAACCCAAAGGTGCTTTACCTCTGATCTACATTCCCCAACCCATTTTATTTCTTCTTTTTTTAAAAAAAATATTTTTTGTTTTAGTTGTAGATGGACACAATACCTTTATTTTATTAACTTATTTTTATGTGGTGCTGAGGATGGAACCCATGCGTTGCACGTGAAAGGCAAGTGCTCTATCACTGAGCTACAACCCCAGTCCCCCTTTTTATTTCTTAGAGACAGGGTCTTACCAAGTTGCTGGACTTGAACTTTGGATCGTCCTGCCTCAACCTGCGGAATCACTGGGATTAGGCGTGTGCCACCCGCCCAGATTTTGTCCATCTTTTTCATATTATCTGGAATATTTTATGTCAGATTCTCAGTTGCTGAGGCTGGTCTCGGACTTGTGGTCTTCCTGCCTCAGCCTTCCAAGCAGCTGGGATTACAGGTAGGCCCGGTCCTTCAGAATATTCTTCAATGTATATATCATACTTTTAAATATTATCAAATTGAAATTATTGTCAATATTTATATGTACACTTCAAGGGCTGTGTTTATCAATATATGCTGATTCCCGTAGTATCCTAGAGGCTTAGAAGGCAAATCCACTTCTGTTTCACATTTTTATCTTTTTCTGTGTTGAGGCGGAGGGAGGCATCGCTGAGACCACACGCCCCTAAAGCTCTCTTATTTCCTGGTTTGGCGGAGTCTTCTGTCGGTCCTGTCACGCACTGTGTCTGAGAGCACTCATCACTCAGGAATTAATCGCTCAAAAGTCACTTCAGCTTCCATTCCCCTCCCGGAACTGGCGCGATAGTGACGTAGGCGTTTCCTCCGCCACGGGGGCGAGGCCGGTAGTGCCCACCATCCGCGTCGCTGGCTGATGACGCGCAGCGCGGCGTGCTCCCCCACGTGTGCTTTGCTGTTCGCCAGATCTCCGCGGAGCGGCGGCGGCCACTATCCCTAGGGGAGTAGTGGGTGGAGGTTCGGGCGCTGGAACCTTGGCAGCTCGGAATCTCTGAGCAAGAAGCAGTGAGCGCTGGGGTTCCCCGGCACAGAGGGCCTAGGATCATGGAGCACCTCTTATTGGAGGTGGCGGCCACACCACTGCGGTTAATCGCTGCCAAGAACGAGAAGAGCCGCAGTGAGCTGGGCAGATTCTTGGCCAAGCAGGTAAGGAAAAGAGGGAGAGGGAAAGCGTGGGGCAGACCCTGGTCGCCCCTGGGTGCGCTGCGGCGTCTTGTTACTCTGGCTGCTGGCGGTGGCTGGACGGTGGCAGAGGCGTCCGCACGTGTTTGAGGCTACTGGAAGGAGCCTTCCTGGGGGAGCCTTCCCTTTCCCCTCTCCAGCACGTCGACCCCTCTGCAATGCTCAGGCAGTGTGGCAGGGGTGCCGTTCTGAAAGGTATGTGGTTGAGTTTTGAAGTTGAGATGACGTCTTTGCTCTTTTGACGCGTATATTACCTTAGTGTGCGTAGTCCAGCTTCGGGTGTTAGCTTGGCTGAGCGCGTGTATGTGTATTTTTTCCTACTCTCTTCTCTCTGACTCACAAATGAGTATCGATGGCGTTTCTGCTGTGCCTAAGGAAGCAACAGCTTTATTTTGGGTGACGGATTGAGGGACCTAAGCGGTTTAGAAGGACAGTGAACTCATAGGAGAGGTACTCCTCCCCACCCCCTTTTTGGGGATGGAGGTGTGGAAGGAGCTGGGGATTGAACCAAAGGCTTCGTGCTTGCTCGGCACACACACTAACACCGAACTACACCCCCAACTAAGGGGCATATTTGTATGATGATAACAAATTGCACCTGAGAAGCAAAAGGGAGTTGAATCTGCTACCTAGGTTCCTAGCCCCCAGGCCCTTAGCAAAGTTGCAATGAAGAGGATCTAATGCTAATTGATGGTCTAGAGACGAAACAGGTTTTTGGTGGTTTTACTAATGAAGGAGATAATCAATTTCGATGAACTGAGCTTGTGAAAGATTCCTGAATTTTGTGTTGTCACTAGAGGTATCTTTCTGTAAGTGAGCTTAGAATTTAGAGGACAGGTTCTAAGTCTAGGGTTCTTTGACCAATTTGAAGGGATTTCTGACTTCCTACCACAGTAATTGGATGTAGTCTGGAGGTGTAGTTCAGTAAAAGAATATAGGCTTAGCATGCAGGAGGCCCTGGGTTCAGTTCCTGGCACTGAAGAAAAAAAATTAATATCAGTGTGTTGGGGGTGGTGAGAATTAAAAAATGGTTTGTAGCCTTTATTAGATAAGTTTTAGGGAATCTGATACACTGAAATATAAGAATCACTCGAGTAGATTCTGAGTATTGTATAGTAATGCTTCCCAACTAGAAAGTTCATTTTTCTTAAGGAGTTTGAAATATTGTATCTTCCTTTCCTCAGCCTCACATTGTCAAATTTTGTCCAGTCTCAGAAATATCTTTCAGGTTTGTTCTTTTCCATTCTGGGTAATAATTTGATGAATTTCACTTAGAGAAGAGTTGATTTTATTGTCCATCCTAATTTCTATTTTTTTGGAAGCAAATATTTTTACTGGAAAGCTGCAGAAACTTTTAAAATGTCAATTCTCAGTGGGATCTGAAGAACTTTTTAGTATATGCTGCTTTCTTTTGTTTTTCATCTCAGCTGGTGATTCCACCTTCTGTCCAGTCACTGATAGAGAACTGGGTCTCCTCAACTCTATTATTTTGGGATGTTGGATATTGAACCTAGGGCCTCAAGCACTCATGTGCTCACCACTTAGCTACACTTCCAGCCCTTCCTTAACTTTTTTCATTCCTTTTTCTTCATATGGAGTCAAGACATCTTGCTGGTATTCCAAGTTATTGAATCTGTTCATTCATTTCATCCCTACTACTACTACCATTCCTACTTCCTTGATCATTGTCTGTTAATGAAGATTAGAGTGCTTAGGAGAATGCATGGGTCCTGGAACTGGAGTGTGACTGAAGGTTAAATCCATTTTCATTTACTTAATTGCTTTCAGTCTCTCGTGCAAATTACTTAACTCCACTAGGATTTTTTATTAAACATATAAATATGGTAGTTGCAAAGTAGTTACAGGGGCTTACCTGTGTTACCTGCATGAATTCCTGGGTTCCATCCCTAGTATTGCACAAAAAAGAAAGAGGTAAGCAAGTGGGTTCTAGGATCAGCTACTAGCTTTGTCACCTTAACTTTCTTCCCCCCTTCAGTTCTCTTATCTCTAAAATGAGGATGTAAGGATGATAGTGTCTAATTTATGGGTTGAGGTGAGGATTAAGTACTGTTTATAAAAGTGATTTCTGTTATTACTACTATAAATAAGGCTGTTGTGATGACTAGAAAATTTGAGTAAGGAACTTATACTGCCTGGCATGTAAGAAGTCATCAGGAAATGTGAGCTATAATAACATATGAACACATACATATACACTTTTTTTTTTTTTGGCAGGACTGGGTCAAACCCAGGGCATCACGCATGCTAAACAAGTATTCTACAATAGCTATACCCTCTGTCCTTCTTGTTGTTATTTTTGAGACCTGAGTCTGGCTCTGTTACCCAGGCTTGTCTGAAACTCCTAGACTCAAGTGATCCTCTTGTCTCAGTCTCCCCAGTAGCTGGCACTAGTAATTATTATTATATTTTTGTGGTGCTGGTGTTACCGCTGTTTAGTATAACACCAGAGAAGCACGCCGAGGCAAGTTTAGAGTGGAAAGTAGAAGCTTTATTAAGGACAGCAGAAAAGACTTCTCCCCTCCCGGGAGGAAGAAGGGGACCCAAGAGGTGGAATCCGTGGTAGGGGGGGAGGTCTTCCCTCTTTTATAGCTAAGGTCTTCATTCAGCTTTCCCGCATTTCTGTCAGAATTCCTGTCCTTTGTTCTGTTATCTTGCAGTGATAGAATGTAGGTGGGGAGACCCAAAAGGTGAGGGGCAGATGGGCCTGAGGAATAATCTTGGGCCTGAAGTGCCTGGGGAGCTTCTGATTAGCATTTCCTCGTTTGCTGGGAGCTGTTTCATTAACATTTCTTTGGGATAGGCTCTGGGCCTTGGGAACATTAACATTTCAATTTCCCAAGTGCTGCTTTGCTTTCCAGGACAACAAGGCCTTCATTTTCCATTTTACTCATTAGACCTGATTTACCTAACTACACTAACTAGGAATTGAATCCGGGACCTCATTCATGCTAGGCAAATGCCCTACCGCTGAGCTATATCCCCCACTGCTCTTATTTTTAAAAGCAGTTTTGTTGTTATGCAATTCACATTCCATATGTATCTCCATTTAAAAGTTTTCAGTTAAAAGATTCACATATATTGTGCATCTGTCACTACCATCAGTTTTAGAACATTGTCAATATTTCAGAAAGAAACCTTCAGCTGCCAGGTACGATGACACATGCCTGTAATCCCAGCTACTTGGGAGACTGATGCTGGAGGATCAGAAGTTTGAGGCCAGCCTGGGCACTTAGAGAGACCCTGTCTTAAAAAAAAAAAAAAATCCAGTTGGGAATGTAACTTGTGGTAGAGCAATTGCCTAGCAAATCTAGCATGTGCAAGGCCCTGGGTTCAATCCCTAGTATTGCAAAAACACAACAAAAACCTCTGTATTTAGCCTGTCATTCCATAATACTCTTTGACACCCTCCATTTCCTCTAGCAACTAGTAATTTAATAACGTAAGTTTTTAAATATATGGATTCTTTATTTTGCTAATTTAATTTAATTATTAATAAGACAAATCCAAATCTGTAACTGCTTTGCATAAAGCTCCCCATTGTTTCCAGAATCAAACTGATCTTTCCAAAATGGAATCTGACTTGAGCAGGGGGTTTAGCTCAGTGGAAGAAGGTCTGCTTAATACATGATGCCCTGGGTTCAAACCCTAGCACTGCAAAAATTAAAAAACAAAACTAGGGAAACCACTTGGTATGCCATTGTACTCCTTTTCCTACAGTCTTCCCTTTGTTCCTTTAATGTTGGGACTCAAACCCTGGGGATTCAAGGGAGGTGTTACATGCTAGACAAGTGTACCCTGGAAATGTATTTCGATGCCAGTCCAGCAAGTGCCAGTCTACTGGTTCTCAGGGTGGGGCAGTCCCCCTCCCTTGGGAAGGAGGGCAAATCTTGAGACATTTTTGGTTATTAGAGATAGTAGGGGCAGGGAATCTTCTGGTATCTAGTGCTTAGAGGCCAGGGATGTTGCTAAATGTCCTTAGAATTTACAGAACAACCACCCAAGACAAGGAATTAATTATCCAGCCTCAAACTAAACAAATTAATAAAAAAAAAGTAGTGTAAAAATAAGAAGAAACCCTGCCCAGCCTAATTTTCCACCTTGCCCAGGGTTTGATACTCGTGCAACACTGTGCTTTCTTAAATTATTACCCCCTGGTGTTGTTGACTGGAGTCGGCCCCTGTGGTCAAATACATATCTCTTTTTGGCCATAATAGAATAACTGGTACTGGATTAGTTCTATTGCTAAAAAACAACTAGAAAATTCTGGATAAAATACACGAAAACTATTTCAAACATTGAGTAAAAGGCAACTTAGAAAACTGCAATCTCTGACAAAGGAAAATAAGGTAATCCCTAAAATTATCCTGTATATGTGCCTATAACACTTACTGGATCCTTTTTTGAGGAGGATGAACTCAAATTCAGTAATGGTGGTGTGCCTAAGCCACAAAGACAGATCAAAGTCTCAGGGGGCTGAGACAGCTAGTGTATTCTCAGAAGAGCATTGGAATTTAGGAACAGCTCTAGGAGTATTGTCAGGTTAAGTATTTGGCTGAATATAAAATTGTTTGTACAGGGAGAATCCATGAGACTGGGCAAAGAATAGCAATGTGGGTTTGTAGGAGATGCTAAACTACTACCAGTTGAAATGGAAAGTCCAGGTTGACTATCAGGATAATCAGTGGAAAACCCAAAAGGACCCTAACTTAAAAATAGGGTTAAATTGCTTGTTAGAATAGAGAATTTCCTAGACCCATACTTAACAAAATTTAAAACAAATGTTGGAAGAATCAGGCTACTCTGAACATAGATTGATTGCCTACTAGAACAAAGAAAGAGAATAAAATCTAGACTACTAATATGATATCTATTATGTTGAGTATCTAATTAAAAGTAACTTGGTATATAAAAATGTAGATAACAGCTTGGGAGGCTGAGGCAGG